TTCTTTTTTATGGTTGGGGGGTACCTTTCATAGAAATGATGAAGGCCCAATGGGTCCTGCACTTTATTTTCAAACAAAAAAGAATGTTTAAAATCCTAGAACTTACACTGAACTTTGTTAACTAGGTCAAAGGAAGCATGTGAACCAAAAAGCCACAGATACCTACCTCCCAGCCCATTCTAAAAAGTAAGGATTTTGGTCCATTTAGTTTTTAGGTGGCAAGAGTTTATCTTGGTTGAAAGTAAACATATCTTTACTTTTCTAAGAGAATCAGTGAAAAGGATCAGTGGCAAGTAAGTACATAAAAGGGCCATTTGGGGAGTCAGGCAGGCTTGGGTTCAAACCCTGTAGTTGACACTTCACTTCACTTATGAGCTGTGAGTTCATGGCCAAATCACTCAATCTCTCTTAAACTCAATTTCTTCATCTGTGAAATGAGGGGTTTGGACCAGGCAGCTTGTAAAGTTCCTCCCAGCTCCAACACCATGATCCTAAGATGGCTCACTTACATGAACTAAGACTGCTAGACTTCCTAGAGACTAAAAGTACAACACTTTGGGTGGGGTGGAGCCAAGATGGCAGAGAAAAGGCAGCTATTTACCTGAGATCTCCCGAAAACCCCTCCAAGCACCTTTAAATAATACCATAAAACAATTCCTGGAACAGCAGAACCCACAAAAGGGTGGGGTGAAATAATTTTCCAGCCAAAGACAACTTGGAAGGTTGGTAGGAAAGGTTTGTCACACCTGGGTGAAAGTGGAGCACAGTCCAGAACAGGCCAGGCCAGCACAGCCTTGGCCCCAGCAAACCCAGAGCACACTATGGGAGCCACTGAATCAGCAGTGGCAGCAGCTGGTTCCAGAGCTTTCAGCCCACATACTGTAAGGAAGTCAAACAACTAGTCAGAAGGAGTCAGTAGTCTCTTTGCTAGCACTGAGGCAGGACTCTGTTGCTTTGCCCACATTCAGAGCCAGGTCACAGTCCTAGGTGGCAGTCCCAGGGCAAGGAGGAGTACCAGCACATCAGAGCTTGTGGCAGCAAGTGGGTAGGGACCATTGTCACACTTAGAGGGCAGAAAAAAGTGCTTGTGGTCGCTCACAGACCAGACCACAGACCAGAGGAGTAATAAAACACCTCTCCTTAGATCATACCACCTTGGAAGAACTGAAAATACCTAGAAGTATCTCTGAAAACAGCTGCACATAAACCCCTGAAGCTTGGGATAGTGTGCCCTCCACCCCAGAAGCAGAGCCCCACTTTAGCAAAGAGTAAAAAGTCAAGAAATAGGCTGAGAAAATGAGCAAATAACAACAAAAAAAATTCTATCCATAGGAAATTAGTATGATGACAAGGAAGATCAAAATACATGCTCAAAAGACGATAACAAAGTCAAAGCTCCTTAGGGAGCAGCTAGGGGGCACAGGGGGCAGCTAGGTGGTGCAGTGGATAGAGCACTAGCCCTGAAGTCAGGAGGACCTGAGTTCAAATCCAGCCTTAGACCAAACACTTGACACTTACCATCTGTGTGATCTTGGGCAAGTCACTTAACCCCAATTGCCGTAAAAAACAAAATAAAATAAAGTCAAAGCTCCAACATCCAAAGGCTCCAAGAAAAATATGAATTGGCCTCAGGTCATAGAAGACCTCAAAAAGGATTTTGAAAATCAAGTAAGAGAAGTAGAGGAAAAATTAGGATGAGAAATGAGAGTGATGCAAGAAGATGATGAAAAATGAGTCAACAGCTTTGGCAAAAGAGGCACAAAAAAAAACCTGAAGAAAATAACACCTTTAAAAACAGACTAGGCCAAATGGTAAAAGAGGTACAAAAAGACAATGAGGAGAAGAATGCCTTAAAAGCAGAATTGGCCAAATGGAAAATGAGTATTTTTTAGTTCACTGAAAGAAAATTCACTGAAGAAAAAAAACTCCTTAAAAAGTAGAATTGGAAAAAGGAGATTCAAAAGTTCACTGAAGAAAATAATTCCTTAAAAATTAGAATTGAGCAAATGGAAGCTAATGACTTTATGAGAAATCAAGAAACAATAAAACAAAATGAAAAGATGAAAAAATAGAAGACAGTGTGAAATATCTCATTGGAAAAGCAATGACCTGGAAAATAGATCCAGGAGAGATAATTTAAAAATTTTTGGACTACCTGAAAGCCATGATCAAACAAAAAAAAAGGGCCTAGACATCACCTTTCAAGAAATTATCAAGGAAAATGGCTCTGATATTCTAGAACCAGAGGGTAAAATACAAATGGAAAGGATGCACCAACCTACCTCCTGAAAGAGATCCCAAAATGAAAACTCCCAGGAATATTATAGTCAAATCCCAGAGCTCCCAGGTCAAGGAAAAAATATTGCAAGCGGACAGAAAGAAGTAACTCAAATATCATGGAGCCACAATCAGGATAACGTAAGATTTATCAGCTTCTACATTAAAAGATTAGAAAGTTTGTAATATGATATTCTGAAAGGCAAAGGAGCTAGGATTACAACCACCTACCTGGCAAAACTGAGTATAATCTTTCAGGAGGAAAAATGGATATTCAATAAAATAGAGAACTTTCATACATTCTTGATGAAAAGACCAGAGCTGAATAGAAAATTTGACTTTCAAGTACAAGACTCAAGAGAAACATAAAAAAGTAAACAAGAAAGGGAATCATAAGGGACTTAACAAGGTTAAATTGTTTACATTCCTACATGAGACAATGATGCTTGTAATTCATTAGACCTTTTTCACTATTAGGGCAGTTAGAAGAAGTATAGACAGCGGGCACAGGGAATATGAAGGGATGATAGGTTAAAAAAAAAGAGTGAGAGAAATGTACTGGGAGAAAGGGAAAGGAAGCAGTAGAATCGGGTAAATTATCTCATATAAAAGAGGAAAGAAAAAGCTTTTACAGTGGAGTGGAAGGGAGGGGAGGGGAGGAGAGTGAGTGAACCTTACTCTCATCAGAATTGGCTCAAAGAGGGAATAACACACACACTCAATTGGGTATAGAAATCTCTTACCCTACAGGAAAGTAGGAGGGGAAGGGGATAAGAGAAGGGGGTGATAGAAGAGAGGGCAGACTGGGGGAGGGAGTAGTCAGAAGCAAAGCACTTTTGAGGAGGGACAGGGTGAAAGGAGAAAGAGAATAGAATAAATGGGGGAAGGGATAAAATGGAAGGAAATACCGTTAGCAATAGTAACTGTGAAAAAAATTTGAAGCAAGTTTCTCCAATAAAGGCCTCATTTCTCAAACTTATAGAGAACCAAGTCAAATTTATAAAAATAAGAGCCATTCCCCAACTGATAAATGATCAGAAGATTTGAACAGTTTCTAGATGAAGTCATCAAAACTATCTATAGCCATATTTTAAAAAATACCGTAACTCACTTATTGATTGGAGAAACGCAAATTAAAACAATTCTGAGGTACTACTTCATACCTATTAGACTGGCTAATAGGACAGAAAAGATAAATGACAAATGTTGGAGATGTGGGAAAAATGAGACATTAATGCATTGTTGGTGGAGTTGTGAACTGATTCAACCACTCTGAAGAGCAATTTGGAACTATGCCCAAAGGGCTATAAAACCATGCATCCCCTTTGACTTAGCAACACCACTACTAGGTCTATATCCCAAAAGAGATAAAAAAAAAAAACCAAAAAGGAAAAGGACACACATGTACAAAAATATTTATAGTAGCTCTTTTCTGGTGGCAAAGAATTGGAAATGGAGGGGATGCCCATCAATTGGGGAATGGATGAATACATTGTGGTATGTGATTATGATGAGCAGGATGCTTTCAGAAAAACCTGGAAAGACTTACATGAGTTGATGCAAAGTGAAATGTACTGTGTACAAAGTAATAGCAATACTGTAAGATGATCAGCTGTTAATGACTTAACTATTCTCAGCAATACAATGATCCAAGACAGCTCTGAAGGCCTTATGATGAAAAATGCTCTCCATCCCCAGAGAAAGAACTGATAGTGACTGAATACAGATTGAAGCATCCTTTTTTTAACTTTATTTTTCTTGAGGGTTTTTTTTGGGTCTATGTTTTCTTTCACAACATGACTAATATGAAAATGTTTTGCATGACTACACATGTATAACACATTGAATTGCTTGCCTTCTCAATGAGGGAGGATGATGAGGGAGGAAGGAAGAGAATTTGGAACTTAAAGTTTAAAAATGAATACTAAAATTGTTTTTACATGTAACTGGAAGAAAATAAAATATTAAATAAATTTTTAAAAAATCGAAGTACAACTCCTTTCTTCCCATCCTTGACTGCAGTACTTTCTTACCATGACACAGTTTTCTGTACTATATTTCTTGGTAAAGAACAGGTCCTAGCTCAGTGAAGAGTCACTGAAGTATCTAGGAGGACATGGCTAATCTCAGCTTTGGAGTTTTTAGCTCTGCCACTGATAGTCTGAAGTCTCCCTCTTCTTTTTTTGTTTCCCCATTCAGTCACTTTGAAACATTTATTAATTGCCTACCATGTGCCAGGCCATCTGTAAAATAAGGCTTTTAATGGTAACCTACAAAGTTTGTGTCTTGATTCTTCCTTTGGGATTCATTAGCTAGGTACTCTCTCTTTTTTAGCTTTGTTTTGAGACTGGGTCTACCTATCTCACCCAATTGCAACTAAATGTTTACTGTGGGTGCATCACTAGGGATCACTGGTACCATTCATTGCCAGACATTGGGCAGAGGAGATATGCTTTATCATATCTGGGGAGGCTTCTAGACTTGTAAAATAAAGAGAATTGTAGGATCGTGAGCCACATACCAGGGTGTGCCTAACTCAAATCCAGGATTGCGAAATAAGATTTCAACAGATACATTCTATCTGAGTGCTGGAACAAGGAGAAGAAGAACTATGGCACTTCAGTTTGAGGATTTGTGTGAGTTGGGGGGGGGGAAGTTTGGTCAATTCTATACTACATATACGTGTTCAGTATATCCCCGCCCTCTTTTTTTTTTTCTTCAGGAAATGTTATTTCCTACTTTTGCACACCAAGCTTTATCTACTGATTTTCACAGCAAGGTCTATGAGAAGGTTAAAACTTTTGTGCCTTCTGGAGAATACTGTCTATTGGTGAGTTGTGGATTTTTTCTTCTCATTTATGTATTTGGTACCATGCTTATTTCTCTAAAAGGGAGTCAGAAGGGAGGTTATTATGAGCATCCCATTGCAAATGCATTGTGAATTTATATTTGGGTGGCATTTAGCTCTGAAAACAATCAGCAAGATGAGGGCAAAGTGCTTTTCCCTGGACCATTGTTATTTATTGCTGGATAATTTTGAGAGGCATAGTTGCAAATGGGATTTTCAGCTGGAAGCCATCTGAGAGATGACCTAGTCCAATGCCTTTATTTTCCATATGAGGAAACTGAGGTCCAGAGAGTGACATGACAAACCCAAAGTCATACAGGTGACAGTGCCAGGATTCAAATCCAGGTTGCTCTGACTATAAACCCAGGCATCAAGAAAGGGGGAAAATGGGAATTCCCCTCAGGGGTTAAGTGAGAGAGAAGTTTTTGCTGAAAAAACATAAAGGGGACTGAAATTTATCCCCAAATTATGCAGAATAAACCTTCCTCCCTCCTCTCCTTGCTCCATCCTCATATTATCCAGCTTCTCTCTCTTCCACACCAGTGAAAGAAGAGATGGATTAAAGTCATGTGCTGAAAATGTCCACCATGGAAGGAAATGTCCTTCTCCTGCTAAGATTCTACTTACACAACAGTACAGGCACCTGACTCATGACATTTCTTCTCCTGTTAGGGATTCTTATTTAGGTGTGGCTTGGACTAGATGGCTTCTGAAATACTGTGATTCATCCACCTCCTGAGGAACATTGTTGGAAGGTGAGAGTTTTTTCATTTAAGATAGTATTTAAACCTCACATGACATTCCAACATATCTGCTTAGTCCAGTGCAAACAGCATCGAAAGCTCCCTTTTCTGCAAGAATTTACTTCTTGCATGGCTTTCAGTCAGGGGTTCTTGACCTGGTATTGGGTCCCTAGATAGGTTTCAGGCAGTCCATGAATTTGGATGGAAAAATATTTTGATAACTGTATTTCAATATAATTGATTGCTTTGACAAGCCTATGTATTTGATTTTGTGCATTTAAAAACATTCTACAAAGGGGTCCGAAGGCTTCCCCTGCCTGCCCAAAGGATCTGTGCCACCAAAAAGGATAACTTTTGCTTTCTATTATGGGACAGACATAGGGTCCAGGGCTGTGATTTCATTAGCCTCACGAACTTCTGAATGAGAGAATTGCTTCTATCAATGCAGAGCTCACTTTCTAGAAGTCTGAGAGTTTAAGTGATTTGTCCAGGGTCTCATAATCAATACGCATCAGGGAAAGGATTTTAATTCAGTTCTTCATGCTATGACTAATATAAAAAGAGCTTGTGACTGGACTTTGAGGGAGTCACAGTTCTCCCTCTGATTAAGGTAATTATTTCAGCTGTTGATGCTAAAGGAACTATGTTATGTAAAAAAAAGTCAATCCATTTCTCTGGAGTCTCAGTTTCCCTATCTAGAAAGTGAGCTCAGCTGGAATGTAAGGTCCTTTCTATCTCTAAATCTATGATGCACTGATCCTTTGACCTGAAGGCTTAATAATTTGCAGAAAGTCCAGGTTTTAGAGCTTGCAAAGCTGTGGGAATGTTGGCTTCTGCTCGTCATTGTTGTTTTTGTTCAGTTGTGTGACTCTCTGTGACCCCATTTGGGGTTTTCTTGGCAAAGATACTGGAGTGGTTTGCCATTTCCTTCTCCAGTTTATTTTACAGAGGAGGAAACTGTGGCAAACAGGGTGAAGTGACTTGCCTAAGGTCACACAGCTAGGAAGTGTCCCAGGACAGATTTGCACTCAGGAAGATGAGTCTTCCTGACTCCAGGTTCTGCACTCTATGCACTGTGCCACTTAGCTGCCCTCTTGGCTAGTTAAGGACAATTTGCACCATACCTGATACCTACAAGCTTTCTAAGAGCCACAGCTTGACCTGAGTTAAAGTTTTCCCTCTGACACACACTGTGTCAGACGTGCTGTGACTGTGTGACCATGGGCAAGTCACTTCAACCCTCAAAGTTCTTGGAAAGTGAGCTATGCATTGATAGAAGGAATTTTCATTCAGAAGTTCTCCATGGGGGCAGCTAGGTGGCGCAATGGATAGAGCACTGGCCCTGGAGTCAGGAGGACCTGAGTTCAAATCCGGCCTCAGGCACATAACACTCACTAGCTGTGTGTTTCTGGGCAAGTCACTTAACCCCAATTGCCTCACCAAAAAAAAAAAATCTCCAGGCCAATGAAATCATAGCTCCAGACACTATCTCTATAAACTTTATAAAAGTCAGTGGGACTTAGTGTAGAAAGAATTGGCCTTGTATTCTGGAAGACCTGGGTTCAAGCCCTGCCTTTAATGTATACTAGCTGTGTGACCCTGGGCAAGTCACTTAACTTCCCAGTGCTTGCTCCCCCCCCAAAAAGATTTTAAGTTAAAGATGAGATGTTGATCTGGATCAGTGGAAGGCATTTTCTCATTGGGAGTCTCTTCTCTGATGAAATCACAATTTAGACTAACCCCTCTCCCACCCAAAATAATGAGCTTCACCTAATGCAACACAGGAAGCACTATCTACTTCATTAATTTAATTAATCCAATTCACTTTTGCTTACCTCTCCCACCCTCGACCTTCAACAGGTTCTGCTATCTCTACTTCATGTAATTCTAAAGGGAAAGTGAAATTCTCCACCCACATCAAAAAATAAGGAACACTCCACTTTACTTCTGATCTCAGTAGTCTTTCTGGAGTACCCCAAAGCCAAGGAAGAATGCCATCACAAGGGGAAAGGCAAAGAAGGCATCTCCATGGTAACTCCCCTAAGATGCTCTCTAAGGCATCCAGTGCCCTTGTTCACTCTTGACCCTTTGGCTGCAATACAGCCTACGAGCTTGATTGATGCAGCCAATCTGTGCCCACAGATACACACGTATTAAAGGCTACAGACTAAAAGCTATAGCTACCTGCAAAAGGGAAGAACAATGACCAAATCCATATATTTTGCATCTGTTTGCCCTTCTATTTACTGAGCTGAATATTTCACGTCTGGCTTTCTACCTTCAGCAGAGGTAGAGTTAGGAAGGACTTTGGATATAATCTAAACTAAGGCCCTCATTTTACAAGTGAGTAAGCTTTGTCCTGGCCTCAGACACTTACTAGCTGTATTACCTCAGGCAAGTCACTTAACCCTGTTTGCCTCAGTTTCCTCATCTGTAAAATGAGCTGGAAAAGGAAAAGGCAAACCACTGCAGTATCTTTGCCAAGAAAACCTCAAATGGGATCACAAAGAGTCAGAGACAACTGAAATGACTCAACAATGACAATAAACTTTGTCTCAGAAATGTACAGTTACTTCCTTAAGATAATCTGGTGTGCAAGCGGCAGATCTGGGACTGAAGGCATGCCCTCTGATTCCCCAGTACAACATTCTTTCTGTTATACCATGTAGATAAAAGAATTTGCTGAAACTAATTGCCATATGTGAAATTTAACATTTATGAAATCTGCATATGGTCACAAGAGGAATGGAGCGGAAAGGTACAAATCAATTATTGCTTGGGGGGGGGGAGAATGCCTAAAAGACCATGTTCCAATCATCACAAGAGGCATCTGGATGACACCGTACTGAACTTGGAGTTAGGAAGCCTGAGTGTGAATCTGTCAAACTGATTTGCCACATCTGTGAAATGGGTACTAGCAAGAGCAACTCCCTTACAGGGTCATTGTGATGACCAAATCTGATCACTTACATATTCTGCTTTATAAACCTAAGAGCAACTCTATAAATGCTAGAGCCCAGACGATGGGTCAGAAGCATCCTCCTCATAGATAAAGAACACCACCATCAATGCCATCATGAATATGTACTGATACACGTACAATGCCTGTGATACAGTAAACAATAAATATCATTGGTTGATTGATTGATTGATTTTATGCATCTCTCATAGACTACTTGAGAGGCAGCTCACTCTAGGGGAAAGAGCAATAAATTTGAAGTAAAGAGAAATGGGTTCAAATCATGCCTAAGTCAGTACCTACTTAACCTTGAGTAAGTAACTTAATTAACCTTTCTGACCACAGATTCCTCATCTATAAAACAAGGGGGTTGAACTAGATGATCTCCAAGGTCTCTACTAGCTCTAAATTTATAATCTTGTGATTCCTGGTGATACTGTACTGAAGGAATGGCACGTTTTTTTTCCATTCACAGGACAGACCAAAATGGACGAGTCAACCACCTTACCATTCTACTATGATTACAAAGCTCCCTGCCAAAACTTTGACGTGAAACAGACAGCATCATGGCTTCTCCCCCCACTCTACTCCCTGGTGTTCATTTTTGGCTTTGTGGGCAATGCCCTAGTTTTTCTCATCTTGATAAGATGTAAAAAGCTGAAAAGCATGACTGACATCTATCTGCTCAATCTGGCCATCTCTGATTTACTTTTCATTGTCACCCTCCCATTTTGGGCTCACTATGCTGCAGACCAGTGGATCTTCGGGGATGTCCTATGTAAGGTGCTGACAGGATTCTATCACATGGGTTTCTTTGGAGGCGTCTTCTTCATCATCCTCCTGACCATCGATCGGTACCTGGCCATTGTCCATGCCGTGTTTGCTCTGAAAGCTAGGACTGTCACCTTTGGCATTTTGACAAGTGTCATCACCTGGGTGGTGGCTGGGTTTGCCTCTCTCCCGGCAATCATCTTCACCAAATCTCAAAAGGAAGGCATGCAACACACCTGCAGTCCTCATTTCCCATCAGATCAGTCCACTGTCTGGAAGAACTTCCAAACTCTAAAGATGAATATTTTGGGGTTAGTGTTACCCCTCTTTATTATGATCATCTGCTACTCGGGAATCATAAAAACATTGCTGAGGTGTCGGAACGAGAAGAAGAAACATAAGGCAGTGAGGTTAATCTTTGTGATTATGATCGTTTACTTTCTCTTCTGGGCCCCCTATAATATTGTGCTTCTCTTGAGCACATTCCAAGTTTTCTTTGGTCTAGATAATTGTGATAGCTCCAAGAACCTTGGTCGAGCTATGCAATTGACAGAGACACTTGGAATGACTCACTGCTGTATCAACCCAGTGATTTATGCCTTTGTTGGGGAAAAGTTTAGACGATACCTCTCTACTTTCTTCCGCAAATACATTGTCCGGCGTTTCTGCAAACACTGCCCCATTTTCCATGGGGAGACACTTGACCGAGTGAGCTCAACATACACTCCATCTACTGGGGAGCAAGAAGTCTCTGCTGGTTTGTAAAAAAGATTGTTTTCTTTTCATTAAAAAATGGCCTAGGGCGGGGGGGAAGGATGTGTCCTACAAGTCTTGACAGGAACTGAAAATCTTGGAGATTCAAGAACAGAGATCCCTAAAAGGCAAGGAAACACAAGAATATTCAGACTCCAGGTACAGAACTGAACTTAATATTTCCACTTTTCAATAAATACATCATCACATAGCACCAGAAGACTCCTTGAGTATCAGGTGATTTCTCCTGAGTTACAACAGAATGGCCTGGATCCCTGTGTGTCTCTCCTGTTTAGTCTAATCAACCCTGAACCCTACTTCCATATATATACATACATATATGGATGTGTAGATATATATGTGTATATATGTGTGAGATGAATAGACAGATAGATAGATAGATAGATAGATAGATAGATAGATAGATAGATAGATACAGTATCTGAGTTACACACTGTCTGTCTTAGCATGTCATCAGAAAGGTGCTAGAAGCTAGATCATTAGCATTGGGACAACTAGAACAATGAATACCAGACATTCAGGTTTATGGATTCTTTTATATCATGGATGATATGTTATGAGATATACATACGCGCACACACACACACACACACACACACACACACACACACACATATATATATATATATATATATATATATATATATATATATATATATACATCCACACATGTGAGCATACATGCATACATACACATGTTCCAAAGATTCCTGCTATGGCTTCTGTGCTTAAAATGAAATGTAAGACTGAAACCAAAACTTTTTGGAATGTTATCATTTTATGAAATAGGAAATATATATACATATATATAGTCATTAAGCATCTATTATGCACCTTCTATATACTAGCTACTGGGGATGCAGATATACAAGTGAAAACATCCTTGCCTCCTTGCTTTCAAGGAGTTTCCACTCTATTCTTTTTTTTTAAGTTAAGTATAGGGCAGCATGGAAATGGAACAGTGGCCTGGTGAGGAGTGGAACAGCAAGGGCCTAGTCCAAGATGCATCTAGTCAGATGAGAGGAAGAATGGTTGATGACTTAAAAGTTCAGTGTAGAAATGGTCACAGGTCATAGGCCAGGCCATGGTCACTATCACAGATTGAGATCTGAAGCCTTAGAACATCTAGTCCAAATCCCCCATTTCCCAGTTGAGAATACTGAGGCCCAGAGAGGAAGATGGGCATGCTCTTAAACCCTAAAGATTGAAGATTCCTAGAGTAAGTTGGATAATTCAACTTCCCAGATTCAATGCATTGGCCTATTCATGTTTACCTCCTTTTTTCTATATAAAAATGTAGACAATGTCCTGGATATGGAACCTCCAGCTTTGTCTTGAAGTGATTATTAAATGGTAACGCTTGTTTTTTCCTAAAGCATCCTCAGGATGTAACGTAGATACTTGGTTAGCCCAGTTGGCCAAAGTTGACATTATTGTTAGCACCACTCAAAAGATAAGCCTCTCTGGTTTGCTTTCTAGAACTTGATTTTTCTTTATCTAGATATGACTTCATTTAGAAAACAAAATCTTCCTAACAACATTGTCTGCCTTTCTTAAGGGGTACAACTGGACGCATGGACCTAGTAACACAAGACCCTAAGGAGGCATTTAAACGGGGGGTCCCAAAAGTCTTAGTGCAGCTGTATATTGCTTTAAAGGTAATTTTACATAAGATACAGAGTTGTAAAGTGTCTCACTATCTAGAGGCCATCCAACCAACCCCTTCATCTTACAGATATGGGAAGGGGCCCAGAGAAATGAAGTGACTGGACCAGGGTCAGAGAAATAATAACAACAACAACAATGAAAATAGTTGATGTTCATTATAGCCATTTTAGGTTTTATGATGGACTCCACACACATTATCTCATTGAAGCCCCATTAAAAAAAACAAACAAACAAACCTCATGAGGAGCTGTAAGAATTATCCCCATTTTCCAGATGAGAAAGCTAAAGCTCATTGAAGTCAAGTGCTTTGCCTTTGATCACACAGTTACCTAGCGCAAAAGCTGGGGTAGCAGAGCAAGGATTCAAACCCATATTCTACCTTTATCTCATCTGATCTATCAACAACCCTAGCAGTCCAAGAATGTTTTACAGAAGAGGAAACCGAGGCATGGTGAGGGTAGAGACTTGCCCAAGGTCACTACAACTAGAACCCAGCCCCGGTCCCTGCCTCCTATTTGATTTTGTTTTCTCCTACACCAGGATGCCTTCCTACATTAGCATCCTGTGAAATGATTGTCTCCCATCAGTTAATTAACTGCAAGGCAATTTAAAGCCAGAATCCATGCCAGAAGCACCTAAGTGGAAGGACAGGAAATAAGTGCACAAGATGATCTAAATAATAGTGCGTTTGGAAGTTAAAGTTTAATGAGGGAACCTGGTCAGTGAACATCATTTTTTTCCCTTTACAGATTAAGTATTACTCAAGGGCAAGGAAATAATGTCAATCTCTTCTACTTTGTCAAGAAAATAACAGCTACGATTTATAGAGCTCTTTAAGGTTGACAAGGTACTTCACAAAAAACTCATTTGATCCTCACCACAACTCACAAAGGTGGGTACTATTATTATCCCCATTTACAGATGAGGAAACTGAGACAAACAGTGGTTAAGTGATTTGCCCAGGGTCACACAGCTACTAAGTGTCTCAGCTATATTTGAACTCAAGTCTTTCTCACTCCACGCCCAGCACTCTGTGCATTATGGTGCCCTCTTGCTGCCTAATCCATTCTAAGGTTGAGAATTGGAAAATTAGTCCTTTCTAAGCCTGTGTTAGGAAATATTACTAGTAGAATATGAAAATGTAAGGCATATAATGACAACTTCAAACATAACACTGGAAAACATGTTTTCCTTTAACAGATATTTTGTCAAATAGGTACCCTGCCAGGAGACAACTAAAAACAAAGCTACTTAAATGAACTGAAATTTCTATGTCTGTCTCATGGAAAAATGAACAAGGAATTTTCCCATATTGTCTGAATGTGGACTTTGTGGACAAACATCACTCAGAAATAATGGGAGAAATGGAGAACTGATCATGAAACTTACCTTTCTGCATTCAGGAGACAGGTGGGGGTCTCTAGGTACAGAATAGGGCATACAGTGGGTTACTAGATGCACTGGTTTCATTTAGCTGTTTGTTTGGGGTTTTGTTGTTGTTATAAAGGAGGGTTCAGTGGTGGACAGGAATATATAGGAAACGATCTTAGCGCAAAAACAAAGGGAAATCAGTAAAACTTTAAAAGATAAGGGAGGAAGGAAGGATAAATAAGTCAAGGTAAAATACATATGGCTCATGAGACTACAACTCGTGAAAAAAAAATCTAGTTAATATTCAAGTTGTTTTTTACAGTTCTTTCTACCCCACCCCCCCACCTTCTCTTTGCCTTGCTCAGAATCTTTTCTGATTCAGTCTCTGAGCTAGGGCACAAAATTCAATTTGAAAACTACAAAATTTAGAACTCTAAGTATGTAAGTACAGGGCTAAGATAAATTTTTGCTATAATAAAAGCCAACACACCGAAAGGGAAAGAACTCTGAATTTAAAATTAGAAGTCCTCAGTTCATCTTGACTTCAGAAAACTGACAACAAGATATATTTCCACTCTCTCAGTACAGTGGTTATGGGTATAAAAATGTGTCACCCGTTGGGAGAGGAAGCTTCTGACTCAGTTGGTTTTCTCTCACAGTTTTTTTTTTCTTGATGTCGCAATAGAGGTTTCTACTGGCTTGAGGGGTAGGGAAGTGGGGAAGAAGGCAGTTATTAGGAAATGATTATAGTGTATGTAAAAAGCATCAAATACATATATGTGTGTATGTATAGATAGAGAGACATATACCTATATAAATAAATGTATACTATATATGTTTATGTGTGTATATATACATATATAGGGAGACATATATATAATAGACACCAAAAAAAATAAAGATCTAGATTCTAGTACTGGACTGAATATGATCTTGGGCAAACTACATCACTCTCGTCACTCTCTAGCCTCAGTTTCCTCATCTTCAAAATGATGATGATAATAAACTATTTACCTCAAAGAACAACGTGAGAATCACAGGAGATAATATATGGAAAAGCACTTTATAAAACTTTAAAGTGCTTTATAATGGAAGCTCTTATATCATTATTATTCAAAGCTGATTAAAATACTTGTTGCCTCCAAACAGTATAACATCATCCTGAGTTATAAAAAGTTCTCCTTTATGAACGTGTCTTCTGTCACAGAACTTGGCTTTCCCAGAACAGTTAACCCAAACTCTTCCTCCAGACAAATTGGTGTCCCTAACTGCCATAATTGCCTTACTCCAGAATTGTGTACCATGAATCAGAATCATGTATCACAGGCTGGTTGTTGGTAAGACCCAAACTGAAGCTTCCACTTGGGGTTCCCACTTTAATTGCACAAGATTGGGGGATATTGAAGAAAGATGTATTAAATAAAGCTTGGCACTCTCCTAACAAATCAGTTTCTCTGTTTTGATCATGATAAAAAAAATAAATTTAGCTCAAAAATATTTTAAATGTTCAATTATGTTGTTATGTTGTGTGAAATGGACTCACTCTCTTTTTATTTTGTTACGCAGTTGAATGAATGAATGTAGACTACTGTGCTAAGTCCCGGGAATACAAATACGAAAGCAAAGACAAATTGCTGCCTTCAAGTACCCTTAAAGCGGGAGAGAGCAGGGAGTGGTGGACAAGGAGAGATCTTTTGGCTTGAAAAGTTACAGGGATGATGAGTGGGACCATAGGGAATAGACTGACATACCCTTTCAAGTCACAATGAACAAACAAATGAATGAATAAAGCATGTATTAAGCATGTTCTGTGTCTAAAGCACTATACTCAGATAGAAAAGTTGGACAGTCCCTCTTCTCTAAAAGCTCACAGTTAATGGAGAAGACAACACCTACGGAAGGTTTCAACTGCAAGTCAGGTGGAAAGGTCTCATGATCCTCAAGGGACAGCAGCAAAGCAGATGGTCATGCCTCTTCTCTAATGTCATTTCCACTGATTAAATCATATCTGTTTTTTACACTGAAACATCTGGCAGTTCTTGGTGACAAGAACTTTCTTTCTTGAGTCTTCAGTAGCTGTGGCTGTAAAACCTGGTGGTCAAGGAGGTGGTGGTGGTTTGACCTGTCTTTTAAGTGCTGCCTCCTCTCTCTCCC